AATAAAATATGATTTGATCATTTAATCCTAAAAAAAATCCATTAAAAGTTACGAACAATAAAGTTACAAAAATGTTTACTGTTGTTATCTAAGAATTATTATATGTTTCACTGTTTTTACTATTGTGTATATTGTAACTAAAATTTAAAGATAATTACTTATGTAGACAAAAAAATCGATTAACATGTATAAGAATCCAATCGTACAAGAAATGAATAAATTGAGATTGAATTATTTCCACAAAACACAAACTAACAATGACACTACACAACAATTAATGGTATAATTTCAACAATTTAAGTGTAACAATATATGAATATAACACATATACATAACAGTTACATTGTTAAATAAGAAATTATAATTGACATAATATATCATTGTAGTTCGTGTTACGCGGATGTTTTTAGAATAAGAATAAAGACTATAATTTTGCTTTATGTGTGTGTATATATATATATATATATATATGTATAAAATTTCGCAATAGTATCCTTCTACTTAAAAGTTAATTATAAAGCAAGCATTAATTATAATTATATCTTGTTCAGCCGTGTTGAATAAACACAGATAAACATGCACATTGAAAATTAGAACTACTACTACAAAATAAATATAATAACATATATTTTACAAAATCATGTCTAAGTATATTCTCCGCGTATATCTTTAGAAAATGTGTGTGCTCAAATCTATAGAATAACTTTCTACAGATCGTCCGTAATTATCTAATTACACGAAACAGCTGCTTATATTTAGCAAACGTTAGATATGCACGATGAAAGCGTAAAGTTAAATCAATTTTCGCACAACACAATGTCAACTAATATTAATTACTAATAATTACTAGTCTTGGATGCCGCCGTCTAGCAGCATCATCTTTTGGCTCCTAATATTGATACTGCTTTGGGATGTGGAGCGTATATAAAGCTCCTCCTCGATCAAATCGAGAGCAACACTTTCAGCAAGATCTTCTACGAGTACGTATCGTTTCAGCAGCAACAAAGAAAATCAAGGTACGTACATATTCTGCAGATCCTTTTTATACTTCAATTGAGAGAGGGAGAGAGAGAGAGAGAGAGAGAGTCAGGAATTGTTGATTTAAAATTAAATTTTAGGATAAGGAGTATCTTTTTAAAATTGTTTGTAATAAGGCTCTATCTGTTTAAAATTTTTATATTTCAGCAAGTTTTCTTCTTTAAAAGAATTTTAATATTTCCTGCGAATAGTGTGTGTAATTTGAAAAGGAAATTATCTGTTTTATCCTTAGTAGATACATGCGTTAAAAATCTTCTTCACTTTTATCGACACTCAATATAATATCAACAATGGATAAAAACTAAAAATATTGCTGCGTTGATAAAAAAAAACTTAATGTGTGTCTCAAAATTAATAACTTTTTACTACAACATTTTTCAAATTCTATGTCCGAATGACTCTTTAATTAGGATGGTTTAAATATGTAATTCCTAACTTATTTATTTTCTTTCCGTGTTATTTTAGTTTCAATTTTTTATATTCTTTAAAATTATGTCACGAGTTTTCAAGTTTGAGCATTGCAACTTTATACAATACAATATAAATTTTATCTCTTTATCAGAATTGAGACACTTTTCTACTTAAGAGCAAATGAGCTACAAATATTGCTTTTCCACAAAAATATAGTATAGTCTTTAGGGTCAATTTTCTTTCATTATCTTAAAAATGCTATTTTTACTTGTATTATTTTTCTATCAACGCAGCTATATGTATAATTCTAAGATAAAACACACGAACGTGAGAAACCTAAAATTTCTTCAGATGGCGCGCGACGTTCGAAATTTATGGACTTTTATCATAACTATACATAGGCTATTCACACAAATTATTATCATTTTTAAACTAATAATTGTAAGGATGGGAATAGCTATTGTTTCGATTGTACTAACACATTACATAAATAATGACTAAGTGCTTCTCATGTATTACACTCATGTGATACATACAATTACTACACGGTGTGGATTAATATAGGTATATGTACGAAACTATCAATTGTCGGCTTGAGTTTATTTTTCTCTTTTTCTATTATGTGCAAAATTAAAGAACAGTCTAGTTAATATACAGAAGTTAGTGGATTTATGTACATTGTGATTTTATCAGTATGGACAGACTTTGATCAAACATAGATAAATTTAATAGTAGTTATTAATTTATCAAATACTTTATTAGCATGTGGAGTTATTAATTTGTTTAACATAATGAAAAGAATATGTATTAGGATCTGAAACAAGTGATTATATAGTTGGAAATTTTTTACTTTAATTTTTACGATTGTGAATTAATCGCCAATTAAATTATTTAACTAATTTTTTTTATTAAATGAAAAGATGTCTAATCTAATTGAATAGCTAATCCTACAAGCCAATGTTCAATTTGAATAAGATTTGAATTTTATTAAAGAACGGCAATTTTTTTCTCGTATAATTTTTAATAAATTATACTGCACCAAAGAAACTTTTTTGCAAAACAAATTTTTTAATGGATAAAATTTAAAAGAGACTAAATTTGAAGTAAATGGTCATATTATTGTTATATTATTATAGTTACTTTCTAAATAAGATCAGTATTATTTCGTAAACGGCGTTTAACGAAAGAATTCGATCACTGCTATTGTAAATTACAATTTCGCGTATCGTGGGAAGATCGCGTAATACGAATAATATAGAAGTATCAATAGAGAAAATGATGGATAATGGACACATAGACTTACGGGAATGCGTAGAAACGGAACAATCCGGTTACCAAGCTAATGGATTACGAAACGTACGACAAATTGCCCGTCAGCGTGAAATGGAAAATCCACGATATATCGTACCTTCGACGCAACGTGCGCGGAGAAATAAATTGCTTCTCTGACATTTTCTAATTTTGTTTCACGAAATGAGCGCGCTTTAATGTGTATTCGATAAAAATTCCAGACGTTAGAGGATATAATTATTTCGTGATCGCATATAGTAATCCTGTTTAATTAATTCCTAATTACGTCAGTTAATCGGCTGTGCTTTGCGTAATAAATAAAAATCCACGATGTCGTAAAAAGATAATACTGTTTTTTGCAGAGTAGCATTCAGATAAGTCCTTATTCGTAACTAATTATTTTGTTTACTAATTGAAACAGATGTTAATATACGCAGACAAATATATTGTATTTAAATATTAACTACTTGTGTTTTTTAAGTATTTTAAAAGTTCATATATTCGCAAGTCCATCATAAAAGTTCGTTATGAGTATCAAATTTATTCAAAATGTGTTTTGAATCCTAATAAGTTTAACACTTTAACCAAGATTATTAAATTAAAACAAATTCAATTTACTCATTACACGTATATAAAGTTGTAACTTCAATAAAACTTTATAATATTCTTTAAAGAAAAATAAATTCTTATTTTAAGTATATATGATAATGAGTTGTTTGTTTCTTTCGAAGATTTGTAATAAGTACATTTTAAGATTATTATCAAGAAAATTCTTTGTTAAAAATAATCGTTACTTAAAAAAGAGAAAACAAGACTGACTGAGCACTTTATTTCTTAGCGGTAGAATGATATTTTTTTCTATATGAAATGATACGAGAGAAATAGTTTGTCAATCACTATAGCAATTTTAAAAAATTGCTCATACAACCTCTCTATTTCTTTATTCCATTACAAATTAAACATCGGTTAATATTACCAGTGGACGCGATGCGTTGTTCACGTTTGTGCAGCAGCTCAAACGGCTGGCATGCTTCATCCCTATGCTAACGGAGATGCTGGTCACGTCTCTTATCCGCTCGGACACTTAGTAGCACTTACGCTTATCTTAATGACCAGGGACGCTCGTAGCGTTAATGGTCCTCTTAAAATTAGCGCGCGGAACAAAAGTCGAGCGCGCGCTGAAAATTTTTCAAGAAATGAGTTTGTCTGGTACTACACGAGTCGTTAATCCGCGCGTCATCCTTTTTTAATGAATATGAGAATTTAAAGAGATCGATGTAAACATGCGATCCGCAAGAGTCCCTGGTAATTATCGTAATCGCCCACTTCGGTATATCTAAAGATTTATGCTTCCGCTAATTATAAACGAAGGGATATTTTCAAATATTGGATAATTTATTTTATTTGCAAGTGTCTTGAAAATACAGAAAAAGGAAATGATTTCCGATAAAATACACTTGAAATGTCACTCCGCTGCATTGCGCTGTCCGTTTGCGTCATCATTATTACCAACGACTGGCGTTCGAGTGGTGTGTATCAAAAATGATATCCCCTATACGAAAAAAAACCGCGCAATAGTAGTAGTGTAAACTTGCGATCGTGCAATTTTAAATTGCACGGCTTCGTACGGATCGTTGCCTCGTCAAGTCTACCGTGACAGTTAGGTAGTCTATTGTTTTTCCCTTCGCACTGAATCGTTACGAATGCGAGCACGAAGGCTTCCTCTTCCTATCTTAACAGCGAATCAAACAATTTGATTACAATTACATGAGATTCCGCATTTGCGACTTTAATTTAAAAAGGTTTATTGTTAGCTAGCGATATATTAGAAAAATTGTAATTGTCTCAGTGACAAGCTACTTGTCTCTTTCACACTTGTCTTTGATCGTAATGGATGGTCTATATATAATCTACTTGATTTTGGAGCTCCGGAAATCGGCAGAATGTAAATTCGCTTGGTAAAAGTGAAGGACTGTTTTAATAATATCCGTCGAATTATTCAAGCGTCGCTCCTGGCTAGTTATCGACTATTGCTCTACGCTAATTAACGTTTGAAAATCATTAGTCGTTTTTGAAAGCTGCCGATAAGTGCCAAGTCGTTCGTCCTTGCGCAATTATTTAACGGACTAATACAGCGAATGTTTAAAGAAAAATTCATTGCACGATATATCGATTGTTGTGCCCTCTAAACTTTTCTCATTTCTATTATATGTTCTCGATGATAAAATATTTTTTCCACGCACCGTATTTGTCTTTCGCAGATGGTCACGAAATGTGTATTCGTCGTTTTCGTCCTGTCGTTGACCATAAGTACCGTTCTTTGCCAAACTTTCCAATACAGTCGTGGATGGACCAACGGCAAGAGATCCGAGTTCCCAAACTCGTTGGGTGTCTCCAATCCAGGGGACGAACATTTCACCAACGGCGAATTCAAGAAACTGAAGATGCTGGTGTATGGGAATATTGATGAACAAGTAAGAGCTTTCGAAGTATTGTATAATTATAAGATTTGTCGACGTTTACGCCTATTATCTTCTTCCGTTCAGTGAAAAAAGGCGATAAAATCAAGTCGATGCACATCAAGTCTAATTACAAAAATCTTGAAATAGAACTACTTTAAAACAATAATGGAGGAACAGAGTGTATCGTAGTACACGTACATATTTGTTAAAATATAATTAATTTTGACGTGATAGTCGCAGATAAGACAAAGAATTTTGTTATTTAAAAAAAATAAACATTTCTGCAAATGTTACAAATGTTGTTTTAACACTGATTTAAATTAATCTATTAATATCTTCTCCATAGCCGCTGTTGATGCATTGCGACTTTGTGGACAATGGAAAATTGAGGAAATTCGGTCACATGGATAATTATGTTTCTCAGTTGCGGGAAAAGGGACCGAATGATGGCAATTACTGAAACGGACACTGGGAATGGTAGTCGTCACACGATAATCATAATTGCTTCAATAAAATACTCAGATACGTAATTTTAGAGGCGCTTTTTTTAGATTTAATCAAATCAGAATAAATTATTAATGCATAAATCTAAGTTCTAATGATTATTCACAACCATCATATCCCTTATAATCAACGCGGAAACACGATGCTTACATCTTAGAAGAAAAAATAACGTATAGTCAATACATTGTGGATACTGGAACTGTTAGAATTATATGATACATTTGTACGGTTATATCGCCACCGTTTCTTCGAGCTTGTCTTGAGTTGTGACGGCTAATTAAGTTTCGCTCTCTTAATTGGACAGTCGGTCGATGGAATCGCGGACCGTCGTTGGTGGAGTACTCGCGGGGGGAGGGGGGGGATTTTGTCTGTCAACGGAAGATGGAGTGAAACCATGCCGAATGGAGACACCCGCTGAGTCCGTGGATTATCCCTACGGACAACTTATCTTCCCACTGCAACACGGACTCCTATATGGCTCCGAGTACCAGAAGCCGGGACGATAAGGATCGTTTGAACGAAATAACAGATTAATTTTTTATCGAATCTACGATTCGATTAGAGCCGTTTTCATTCGGATTTCGCGCGTTAACGTCTCGGCGCCGCCTCGAAAATATGGAGCGTTCGTTACGAGGTGTTCAGAAAGCGCGCGGCATATACGGTTGCGTATAGCCGTTGTGATAATCGGCAACCCCATTCAATTAGAGATCAAAGATCAACGTCGATATTCGGGAAGTTCGGCAACGCTGAGGATTATTGGTCGATGACGTCGATAGGGCGTACGTAACTATATCGCATACGGCTAATGCGCTTGAAACTTAGCTGTTAATCAGAAACCAATTACTGGAGGCGGGACGAAATGAGTTTAATCGCATTAAATATTAAAACGTTCTGACGATATCGTCGCGCGCGCGCACGCCTGTTTGGTGTATACCCGGTGTCTCCGTACAGTATGCACGAGTCAGTCATCACAGGGTAGCACACACCAGCACGTGCCACGGCCGTTCAGCCATTTTCCTGTCTTAATACCCACGGGAGTGGCCAGCCGGCAACCATATCGTGCACCCTTCGCCGAGTACCTTGCATCGAATCTTGAACCTGCGAAAGTACAATGATCCAAGTGTCGCAACAGTCGGATTCTTTATTAGAGCTTCGTCAAAACTTCAGCTGCGAAAAATCATGGATACGAAACGGATAACGTTTCTGAGAGAAATTCCATTAATAATAATTCATAAAAATGTTTGGCGTAAAATATATTGACGAACAATTCGCTTTTATTTTAATAAAACGTCTTGCGAGATGATTATCGCGATATAAATACGCGTGTCGGAAAATTATCCTCCCTTATATATATCGCGACGATAAAGGCTTGATGGCCGGCAACTTCCACAGTCTCGTAAAATAAATAGTGACGATCGCGAAATACAACCTGTCGAGGAATAATGTAAGACTTGATGGAACCTCGTTGAATATACGAGTCGTAACTTGAATGATGTACGATCCATCCCTATGTCTCTTATAAGTTTCAACATAATTCCATATATATATATATATATAATTATATACATATAGTATATTTATTACGTAGAATTAGAAATCGTGCGTGATTATCTGAAATTAAAACGATAGATATTATAATGGTAGAAAAGATCGTATTTCGAACGTACGGTGATTTTTGACATTATAAAAACCACGTCGAAGATTATAGTTTAGGTATATACAGCATCTTTCGAAGATCTCGAGGATTATCTCAATTACGGAATTACGCCGGTCTCTCTGAAATTTCTGCGCCACTCTCGCCGCACAGATACACAAAGTGCGAACGAAACGAATTCCTATTAGCGATAGAGAAACAGAAACGTCGGCGCGGTGAAAAGCGGGCCCGACGGCTCCCCGGTATAAATACATAAAATCGGGCAATCATCCTAAATGGGCGCCTCGCTACCGGATCAGGAGCGGCTGTCGCCTTTTTCGAGCTGTCGTCTGTCGCCTGTCGTTTGTCGCGCGACAAGGGAGCGCGCAATTCCAGCGCCGCACGTAGTTGAAAACGAAAAAGCGTGAAACGACGGAAAAGCGTTTGACAAGTACAATTTCCGTCTCTGACACGTCACGCTCGCTCGATGCTTTTATTACTTTCGCTTGTGTCTCCCTCCACCCGTCCTCCTCTTGAGGAGATACGTTAACGTTTATCGTATTGTCTCGCGTGCATCCGAAGTAGATATATTAATTTATTCGCAAGATAGACGCTACAGGGGGTAGGTAGCGTATAAAATGTCATACCATTTGGTATCCATACGATGTTGCATTTATTTTTAAGAAAATTGGTACACAGAATGGATAGAATTCTGTGGAACTTGTGAGAATTGATTGCCAATGCATCAACATTTTCTGCACCATTCTATTTGTCCTTTTATCTCATCAAATTATTCGCGAAAGAGTGTTAAGATATAATTTTTTATTAACCCTTTTTCGCTGGTCATGAAATGTTGCGCCTTCCATCAATAATCTGGGTCTTTGAGTTTCAATGCAATTTGCAGATTTTTGTTACGGACAATAAAAGTCTGAAAAAATTCTAGCACATTTGTGAAAGTCGAGTTTTTACTATCATAAAAGTTGGATTGTATCTTACTTATTTTTTACAGATTGTTTATCTACTAGATTTCACTCAATTAAAAGATCTATACCTTCAAAGTCTAACTTGACCGACAAAGGCTTAATATTGTGTTCCCCTTTTTTTTTTTTGCTCGGTTTGTGATGTACACTTTTCTCTCTTCAGCCAGGTGACCTTCATAACGCGAATGTTATTCGCTCGTTCCTAGTGATTCTACATCGTCGATGGCTGAGAGGAACGAACAGACGTGATCGCCGTCTGTCTGGCGGCGTCTATCCGAAAAAAAGCGGTTTCGATTTTAACACGGCTCGACCGTGTTCCCGTAGCGGCGAAACCGCAAACGATCGGAAATAGAGAAACTGCTTCGCAAGATAGTTGCGGGGAGACCCGTTTTACGGGCAGGAAATGAACGGTGCTTCGACACTGTGTTTTAGGAAACGCGCACGAGGGCACTTAACCGCCATGAAAATTGATTGGCCTCCTGCGTCCGATCAAAATACCACCCAACTAGGTGTTGCGCCGTTCCCCGAAACGGAACCGGAATACTTTCCCGCCGGAAGATCACCGGAGCAATCATTTTACTTTTCTCGGAACAACGCTTCTCCATATAAAATGAGGATCTTTGCTTACAAAAAGATACATTTTCCAAATCTGATTATTCATGGGGTATTTTTTTTCGAACAGTTTCTGCCAGGAAATCCCACACGATTTTGCTGAAATATCTAAAAATCTAACTAAATACAATAATCTAATATAAAAATCTAAAAGTAATTTCATTAAACTAATTATTAAAATAATTAAAACAATATATAAGAAGCTCAGATTGATTTTGCTAGAATTTTAAGTTTCCTGTATAATTATTCCAGTAATGGTTTAACAAAATTATTTTCAGATCCGCATCTACTTTTTAGATACTTGAACGAAATCGTTATGCGCCTGAGTTTGATTGGCAATTTAAAGAACAGGCGTATTAAATTCCGAAATTATCTCTGGAAACTCCTGCATATAACGTCACTATTTCGCGCACAATAATCCCGGAAATATCTTCGGGCGTCCGACGAGCGTGTCGCGTTGGCGGATTTATTTTTCATCGGAACTATCAATTTCCATAAGCGCGACTCTCGTTGTTCCCGTCGCGAAATTGAGCCGCCATTCGACGATGAGGCGGCGGCGGCGTGGAAAAAGCATAGCACGTTCGCGTTCGCTCTCTCGCGCGAAGCGCAATCACAATAAATTTCCTACGCTCGTATAAATATGGCAGCGCGCCGCTCATGATTTTATAAACGCGCTTCGCGTGTCGTGTACATATGTACATACGCACGCACGCACGCACGCACGCGCGTGCCCTGCGCGCGGGATAGATACGTTGTATAACGTATATATACGGAGCGCGCAGTGCTCAGAAATTGCGATCAAACGGAACGACGTTATTAACACCGCTTCTATATATTCTCTACGGACTCATCTTACACCGCGCCGCTCTCCTCCAAGTGAATTATTTCGTTGAAAATTTTATTCGCGTATTCCCGCCCCTCCGATGCCACGCCGATATCGCAGGAAGATCGACGTGTTATTAACGGGTCTCTCAAGACAAACGTTCCCACGTCGTCGTGCGTACGCACGTTCGGAATCAGATAGCCGGACAAAGCGGCTCTGATATTGCGTGCTCTCGGGAAATTAGCAAATACGAATCTAATTAACCGCGATGCATGAATAATCCCGCGCGTAACGCGTTATCTTCGGGTATCAGATGAGAGCACCGTAACGCCGGAAATACGATTAATGAAAATCACAGATGATATAGGAACGGAAAATAAACGCGTTTCAAAAATCATGTATGCTAGAACGGACGCTTTCCGATAGGTCGAAATCTCTCGCTATTTTGTCTGTGCTTTTCATTGAGTCAGTTTCCTGTGGCTCGAACTGGTTATATAGTACGCACTTTTGGAGCTTAAAGTGAGACAGTCATATGTTCGATATTATGGTGAAAATGAGAAAGGGGGTGCAGGAATTACAGAAAGCAGCAGACCCATATGTTTCCGGCTTAAGCGTCTTTACACGGAAAAACGCGCCCTCGTTGAGGAAGAAAACAGCCGGAACGAGGAGGGGGAGAGAAAGAAGAGCTGATGTCGGATTAGTTTTTAATTCGAGTCACATCCCTTTCTACGCGGCTCGGTGGCCATGCGAAACGACGCTACGCCATATCGAGAGGGGTGGCGTGTGCGTGCCGAGCGTGTGCATGAGCGTAGATTAATTTCCAGGGTGCGCGCCGCGATTCGGCCGGGGAGGGCAATGAGTAGTAAACGGCATCAATAATTTGCATAATTCCGCGTCGATTTGCGCGTGACTCGCGAGATTACACGGTAATCCGCGCGCCGGCACTTGGGACTTACAATTTTCTCGAAAAACGGTATTATTTAC